GCTTCTTCGACAGGTACTGGCAGGGAGGGCAGGAAGGATGCGATGGTCCCGTCCCCCTCGGAGAAACGCTTTCCCATAGGAAGGTTACCTTTCAGAGGACAGTCGAACGTTCTGTGCTTCACGTGGCAGCAGAATAACATTAAACGTAATGATTTTAATGACTACCATTTTTAATAATAACGTCCTTTGAACTTTTAAGACTTTTTGGTAGATGCGTAAAATGTTGTCCTGGGCAATCACCGAGAGCTGTCACTTACACAGTAAATCTTCCCTCATACAGAGAAACCTTACAGAATATTTTGTGGCCGTGGACGTGAACAATATGCTGCATCTGTACGCCAGCATGCTGCACGAGAGACGCATCATCATCACCTCCAGCAAATTAAGTACCGTGAGTGCTTCACACTCCTTTTAAGTAGACCGTATTGAGCATTTCACAAAAAGACCTGCCAACCTCTGCAGGTTTAGAAATGGCCTATGTGTACTCAGAAGACAATGTCTCCGTTTCTGATGTATGGTTTTAATCTGCCTCTCGAAGTACAAAAGTCTGATTTATAGAAGGCCTTCTCAGATGCATTAAGTCAGGTTAATTATTTTTTCTTATCAGGAGACGAGAGTTTTTTTTTTTTTTTTCTTTCTTTCTTTCTTTTTTCTTTTTAACTCTCCAGAGTTCATTTTAGTGCCTTCTACCGTATAAAGAATTCTTGAGAGCTATTATGGGATCTTTATTATTCACTTGTGGCTTTTTCCACTGGAGCGACTTGAAAGAAATCAGGGAGCCATGATAATAGCAGCTCCCCTAACCTGGTAATAGGCAGATTCATCTTTGTTGCCGAGTGGAGTTTGGGGGTAGATGCTATAGTGCTTCCGATTTGGAGGGTCTCTTCAGCCTGATAATAACTTAAAAGTCAAAGTCAAAGCTGTGGGTTTTTTTTTTTAAATTATTATTATTAATCACAGGTTTTATTCACTCACTAAAATGTTCTTGGGGAAGGTCTTCATTGCCATGGCGAAGGCCGCGAGAAAGGTATTTTCTTGGGTTGCAGAAAAACAGTCACAAGTGTTTTGCTAGATTTCCTAAATTTTTTCTACTTGAAAATTTTTAATATTTTTGATTTACTTAAAATGTTCAAATATAAATTGAAGCATAGGTTAGAGTACTAGGTGAGATACTTATTAAAAACCGTTATTTGATAGCGCACGAATTTGGTTTCTTAAAAATGTGGTTCGTTGGTAAAAATAAGATAATATATTTTATTTTTTGTTCCCGATGGTAGAAATAGAAACCTCACCCTACAAAGTTTGACAGTAGAAGGAGTTCCGGGATTTCCCTAAGACATCTGCTTGGTATTCGATGATGGGGAAGGTGTTTTCGAGAGGTTAAATGGGCACCTTGAGGCCCAAGAACTCATCGGAGACCAGCGACGGGAACCTGGGTGTCTGGATTCCAATTTCGGGTTATTTCCATTGCTTTACAAGAGAAAAAAAAAATCGACGTTTTTGTACTGCAATATTGACATGTCCCCCTTTCCAAACAAATGGGAATTATCTTATTTTACACGTCAGAA